CTTTATATGACAAAAATTTGCTGGTGGTATTTAAGGTCGTATAGTTTTAAACTGGTGGCGCACAATCTGTCAGAATTTGGGAACCACTGGCCTAAAGGAAGATTACTGTGCATGCTATCTTCTTGGGGATGGAACATGCAAAACCAGAGAATTAAAGGGCTGCCCTGGAGTCTAATATATATCTGAGGCTTCATCTACTCTGCAATGAAAAAGTTCATTACCCTTAAATACAAGGCGAGTTAAAGTAAACTAGTTGTCCCAGTTGATCACACAGATTAGACCTACAAGATCACAAGGGGCAAACAGCCTCAAAAGAAAGGAGAGAGAATGTTTAGGTATTTACTGTTAAATCTAAAGACCTCTCTTGTATATTTTGATAATAAGTTACAGGGATTTTAGAAATTTCTGTACAAAAGCTATTTGCCAGCTACACGTTCCCTAAAGATATAAAACAGAGCACCTGTGGAGGTAGACTTTGGGCCCAGGGAAGAGGCAGCTAGGGAGGCTTGGGATGGCTGTACTTTTCAGTGTTAGGACCTAGACTATTTAGTTTGTGACATTCCATACTGCCAAGGAAGCAGAGCCAGGCAAAAGGTGTGCACCCAGGAACATGCCCGCTCCAACATTAGAAACAATGACAACACTGTCCAGATCCAGTTGGCTCAAAAGCACGTGGGATCCAAAAGTGAAGTCCAGTTACAACAGACATCCACTCTGGGACTCAACAAGTTCTGTAGCAATTTGGTACCAGAAACACCTCTTGCATAACAATTCATTAGCGTCTTTGGTATTACCCACCTCAGCATCTCCAGGAAAAATGACCCTCCTACCCTAATTACTCAGTACCATTTTTGTTTTGAATACTAAGACAACAGGTACCAAAGTGTTAGAGGTGGTAGGCACTAAGGTTCCAGGAACCAAATCAAAGAGAGACCTAGTCTACAGATTTAGTGGTTCCACTGGGACTATCTTAGTGAATGATGCTAGGGAACCTCAGAAAGTCTTTTCAAGATTTAGTTCCTTAGGAAACAGGTGACCCATGTCTTGACTCATCCTTGGAGACCTTCTTTCTACCCCTGTTCAAGAATTTCATTGCTGAAATGGTGGACAAGAAGTGGAGACACTCAACAAGTACTGAGCAAAGGAACTCGGGGTGAAATCTCCATTCATAGGACACTAGTAGAGAGTGGCCGGCTATAGCTTTAGCTCCACCCTTCATCTCTGTGTCCAGAGAGACTTGCTTTGAACTTTTACAAATGAAACAGCTTTGGGTGGGATTTTTTTTAAGTTTTCCAAGTTCACTCTTCATGGATACAATTCCATGCACTATTGTCAATTGTCATTGAAGGTTTCCATGGAGAATATGAAACCCAGGTATTTAAGCTTTTGCTGTACTGTTATTACCCCAATACTGGGGGCCAGAGGAAGTATGTACACATCCAAAGCGTCTCTAGCAAAAGCTGAAACAATTAATACCTACCAACTAAGCAGCAAGGCTATTAACTTCTCTATCACAAGTCTATGGGGGGGGAGAGAGAAGAGAGGCATAGGGGTCATCAGGGGAACATGGGAGGGCACGTATCACCCCCCACAGATTTCTGCATTCACTGTGGGCATGGGGCTGCAGCCTGGCTGGACTAGCACAGGCAGGAGCTGCCTCCATGGCCCAGTCGGTGGAACCCAAAACACCAAGGTACAGCTGGGCCGCTGGGACCCCTGTGCCAGTCACACTACCAGCAGGGCAAGGAATAATGGGCCAGGGAATGGGGGGCCACGCTGCCTTCACCTCCACTTGGTGCCAGCCACTTGTGGGCCAGACCACAGCTCTACCCCACCACCATCACCACTGCCATTGCCCTCGGGCCACCTGCACTGCCCCTGCCACCCTACCTTCCCTCTGGGTTAGAACCGCAGCCTGAGGGGAGCAGCAGAAACAGCCAGGTCGTGGCAGCAAGGTACAGCCATGGCCCAGTGTGCAAGTGACTGGCGGCAGGAGGTGGTGAGGGCAGCATGGCCCCACCCCAGTCTGTTACTCCTCGTACTGCTTGTGGCACGTCTAGTGTGGGGGTCCTGGCAATGATGGCAACGAGTCTCACTGCCCTGCTCCGCCCTCCCACACTGGGTCCTACCCACTGGGCCATGGAGGGGGCTTCCGCCCATGCTGGTCTGGCCAGACTGCAACCATATGCCCACTGTGGGTGCACAAATCTGGCAGGGCATGTGCCCTCATGTCCCCCTGATTCTTTGCTTATGCCCCCCTCTACCCCCCAACACACCACCTATGCCCCACCATAGACTTACTTGTGGGGAACTGCAGGAGCTGCTCTCCACCATGCTGCCTGGCTGCCATGTGCATGTGTACACACACATATGCATGTGGCACCTTCTGCCTGTGATCACCCTCCTCCCATTCCCCACTAGCCCCAAACAGCCCCTTGCAGGCTGGAACTGCCAGCCTGCGAAGGGAAACCATATTTTTCTTCTTTACAGGAAAAATCCATGCTTGTCTGCAGCAAACTGAAAACCTGAATCCCTGCTCATAATTCACCTCCTTAAGCCACTTCACAGATGCTGAGCACCTATAACTACAATGGACTTCAATGCTTCTTCTAGAATTAATTCCTAAACTAGTATTTCAAACCACAGAGCAATGAGTAGCATAACTAAGGAAGAGTGACCCACAAGCCCAGGGTACTGACTAATGGGGAAGCACTGGAATGAAGGCAGGGGGACTCTGGAAAGGTGACAGGGGCCGGCTCCAGCTACAAGGAGTGGTGGCAGGAATCCGCTTGTCAACCTCACTCTTCTTCCCTCCTGGGAAACACTGTTGCTGTGGGGAAAGCATCCTCATGGCCAACAGCCAGGGTATCAACCCTCTCGCATCCACTTTTTCACTGCCAAATTAAAGACCTTATAGTGTTATTCAACGTAAGATCTGGTGGCAGCTCCTGCATTAACCCCATAGATGTTGATTATACAAACACCTCTTCCTGCAGCACTGGTTATTCCCTCCTGTCCCAGGGCACAAAACTTACTAGATACACCTCTGGGTGAGCCCCTGATGTGTCAGGTAAGACTCTGCCCTCCCCATCACCACCTGCTCCCCTGTGCTAAGAACAATCCCTTCTTTAAATTCCCTGGCTCTGCCCAGTGTGTTAAAATTGCTAGTTATGCCTCCTAGAGCAATACTTGGCTTTTCTCTCCTACGCCTTCTCACCAGTATCATACATACTTCACAGATTAACATTTTAAGATGACAGCTGAAATTTTATACTTCAGTATAAATTTCATAGCATGACAAAGTTCTACTGTATGCGGTTAACAAAAGAATTACTCAACCAGGAAAATAGGACATTTTATCGTCCCTACCATTTTACCACAGATTATCTGCTAGCCTAAAGGAGGAAAATTAACGATATAAAATAAAAAAGACTGGGTCTCAACCACAACACAAATTAAATAATGTATGTGTAAATTGTAAAGCTGAAATAACTCTGAATTATGCCAAACTTTGCCACTAGCTAACTTATCTTAGGCAAATCTCATTACATCTCAGGGCCCTGACCTGTAAAGTGAGGGAAATAATATCTATCTTTCACAAGTGTTGAGGAAGTTAATGGTATATCAGAAAACACATGGGTAAGAGAAGCTATACAAGCATTACTTAGTGTTTCTGTAATACATGGCATGAACTTATTGGGGTTACAGCATTAAAACTAAATTACAATATTTTCACGCTATAAACATCACATATGTTTAAGAAAAAAATTCTGTAATTTTATTGAATGTACTTAGTGTACATTTTCTCAACCAAGTTCTCAAAATTAAAAAAAAGCCTATGGTTCAAATGGAGAGGCCCCCTCAATTGCAAACAAACCACTAATTATGACATCAATACTTCTGTTCCTAGGAAATGCCACTCCACACTTACACAAAGAACCTTGCACACTGGGGCCTTAGGTTTTTTCTCTAACTAGGCAAAAAACAAACCATGCCCTGTGTCTATATGGGCAAACCATATCCATTAGTATGAATATCTACTATTAAAAACGGACAAAACCAATCCAGCATTGTCACACAGTAAGAAAATCCATTTCTCAAAAATGTATTTTTCTCCCTTAACAAAAATAAAAGGATAATGCTTCCTTAATCTCATTTTTCACCCCCTGTCAAACTTCTTTACTTTACAAGTTTGGTGGAAGTTGTAACTCCTTTTTGTTAGATCTATGTAGAAAGAACTTATTTACCATGGTTTTATCATGATCACACAAATGGAAGTACATATTATTTTATTTGGCATCTTTCAATAAGCAAGATCTTGTAGGCCTGTCCTAAACTGAATTTCTGATGGAAGTGGCCAGCAGTCAATATTAGCAAACTATGACAGGACACACCCCAAAACTTCTGGTCTTTCACTACCACAATTATGACTCCACTGAGAAGCACAACTCACAAGCTACTCACACATTTATCTGTTGTGGAATCAGACGTTACAATCTGACAATTTTAGCGCTTAAACTTATGAATTAGCTTAATTTTCTACTTTAAAATTCACCTTTAAATACTATACTTTCTTTTGAGTACTTCTATAACAAAAAGTTACAAGTTACAATGAAGTATAACAAGAGAAATGTTCAATAGTTCCTTCAATAAAGTGGAGAGACTGCAGATCAGACCTTCCAGATTATTTAGCACACAGTATAAAAACAAAGATCAGATATTTAGCTTGTTACTGAATGTGGCCAAAGATACACACAACATATTTTGTGCTACTCTGACCATGATATATAAAAATAGACCTGGTATTTGATTAATTCACTAATGAATCCATGATCTATTCACTGTCTATTGACAAAGGAATCCAAGACTTGGCAGTTTGATCAATAAGAGCCACCCTAAAAGAATAATTCTCAAGTTACAAAATACTCCAGATGAGAACTATAGTCCACCGCTTAAACTATTGTTAAAGATGCCTTAAATTCTTAAGATGAAGCTTTTACCTTTCTTTAATGAATGTAATGCTGATGTGAAGAATGTCAAATAACCAGGAGGCTGAGGTGAAGCATTGAACTCAAAATATCCTAGAACTCCAGGCTGCAAGAATAAGAATTAGAGTTAATAGCTAAGCTATTACAAAGTAATGTACTCATGGGGAACTGCAGTTATTTGCCTATGGTAAAAAAGTAAAGATTAAACCAGTGGTTCTCAACCTTTTCAGACTCAAAACACCTCTGGGGAAAAACAAACAAACAAAAAAAACAGCCCTTAGTTTTCACTTTTTTTGGACAACACAAAAATAGAGCAGTTTTTTTTGTTGCAAAGAACTCAGAAAGACCACATCTATAGATTCTTATTTGAAACTGCTGGGTTTACCTTGTTTGCAAACACAACAGGGCTAACATTGGTGTGACACACTGGTTGAAAATCACTGGATTAAAAACTGAGTTTACTTACTGTTTTAATAGAATAACATTAACCATTTAATGCTGCAAGAACAAACAGATTTTAAGATAGGGAGGAAATGCATTGTGTTATCATCCGGAAAATGTACATAATAAGACCAAGTTATACGGATACAAAAATTAAGCCTCACAGTTGCATATATCCTCCAATAGTGTGTTACTGGTTACATTGTTGTCAGAGCAAGTGTTACTGATTTAAAATTATTGTATGCCTCAAAGTCAACACCACCATTTGGAGGAATACTCTGAAACTGAAATTTAGATTTGAACTGTCACCATCCAAAAGATAAGTGCAATCCTTTTCCAATGTAATATATTTTCTCTCTCTGATGATTTACTATACTGTGTATAATCCATATCTGTACTTGAAATTGTATATTGTTTTTGATCATTAAAACTTCTAAGTTATATCACACTGACAGGCTATCAGTCATGTAAGTTTCTTTCAAGATCTGTTACAGAAATCAGTAGGAGCCTGCACACAAACAAAGAAAGGAACCCCAAGTCCTGTCTCAGGGATGGTTAAAATATAGCCCACAGGCTGAATCCAACCGGCCAGGCAAATTAATCCAGTTTACAGTCAGGCACCCAATTAATTGCATCTGGCCCAGCCTGCAGCTGCCCCTGCTATGTTCCACATGGGGCTGAGCCCAGTCCATTCCCCCCCAGGACTGTGCGCTACACTGCCACATTCACCAGAGGGAGGGCCCTGGCCCCAGCCAGTGAACACAGCTTCCTGGCAGAGCTGCTGCTGCCACCACTGCTGCAGCTGCCTGGGGAACTGCTTAGCTCTACCAGCCTCCAGTGGCTCCTGCTCCTGTCCCTGCTGCAGTGCCCTGGGCTGCAGGTAGAGAAGTGGCAGCAGACAGGGACGAAGCTGCAGCTAGATGGGAGCATAGAGCCCAGATCACAGGCCATGGCCAGTGGGAGCACAGGGCCGCGGCAAGTATGGTGCCAAGGCCAGTGTGAGTGTGGGGCCAGCCTGGCTCCATTATGTGGGGCTCCCCACAGCTCATGTGCAGCTCCCAGAACTCGGCCAAAGCCACGTGCCTCCACAGGAAGTGCTGTGCGATGCAACCAGCGACCTGACACCAATCCCTGCAGCCACACGCAGATCCCAGGACTCAGCAGGGAGCCAGCTGCACATGGCGGCAGGGACAAGGGCCAGGCTGCTGGCTCATAGTTTCATAGTTTCTAGGGTCGGAAGGGACCTGAGCAGATCATCTAGTCCGACCCCCTGCCATGGCAGGAAGAGCACTGGGGTCAAACGACCCCAGTAAGGTGGTCATCCAACCTCCTCTTAAAAACCCCCAGGGTGGGAGCCTGCAC